TAATGCTCACGTCTAAAGGACAGTTGTAAAAGTGAAACTAACTCAGAAAAGATTGATTAAAATTTAAATAAGTATGATTATTTGTGCAATTATATGCTAATGAACACAAAGATAAAGCCATTACAGATACCTTTATACAGAATTTGCAAATAAAATGAATGCCAGCAAATCATAAAAGGAAGCATGTTCAATCTTTATAAGTAACTGCCAGAGTATTGCTTAACCATTGGTGAATTTCTCCATCAATCATATTTGATGGGAAATATCCAAAATAAATGTACCTCAGTATTGACAAGAGAATATGCCAAATTGAAGGATATGTTTGCAGTTGGAGAAAGCTATGCAGTCTTCCAGTTTTACGTAAAGTAAAAAAATTATAAATGTGATAGTAACAGTGAAACCATAATTTCAGCAATATTAGTACTATATGTTGTTAAAAAGTTTTTTTTAAATATGGAAATGAGTGTGTTATAAAACTTTGAAATTTCTTGTGATTATTCAAAACGCGCATATAAAACTTTTATATTTGTGTGTTAAGGGTGTATAAAATGTTTATATTTGTGATATTGTGTGAAAAGCTTTGAAAATCTTCCCTGAACAAATATGATTATGTGAAATCAAAAAACAAAGACTTATGGACTGAAAACTTTTAATGGGATTCTAAAATATCATCAAAGTTTATATTTTGCTTTTTATATCTGTTAGATTTTTTATTGTTAGATTTTTTGGTTATATTATATTTTTATATTTGTTATGTTTTTCTTCATTTCCTAATGCTTTAGAGCTTTATTTCTTAAAAAGCCTCTTCTGATGCCAAGCCTATTTTGTGTTTGAAGGAGAGAAATATGTACATGCAAAAAATTACTAACAATTTGGAAATACCCTTTTATATTACTAATTTTAATTTGGATACATCCCTTTCCTGTCGTATATCTAAAGCGCATCATCTCAAAATTAATCTAACATGCCATGTTATGTAAGCGTTACTATGTGGATACCTATTATCCAAACAGATTAAAGAAACTTTTAACTATACACCTCACTTTTCTAAATGCATGGCCTTTTTCTCGCTTTCCTTCCTTGTGACAAACGCGCTTCATTTCTGGTATCTGTTTATCATCCATTGTCAGCTAAGCTTTGGAAACATGTGGGGTGGATACTGCACCCCATAAAATAATATGTGAATCTAATATTGCAATATTGCATGTGAAGATTATCTTTATCAAGAAATAAAAATTATGTGATGAATCTACTGCCACGTCTATCTTCAAGTCTATCCACGTCTATCTTCCTTTAATATCCGCATTAAAGAATTTTCAAGTTATTATTGCTCGTGCAAATGATTCTTATGATTAAAAATTTCTTTCTATTCTCAAATGTTACACGGAAAAATACAATTTATGGCAGGTTTTAAGTATTAATCTGGGACTAGATAGAAAATTTGTGTATAAAAATATTTCCATATCACAAGTTTATCAACAAAAAGAAAATAATATACCGAAACAATTAGAAGAAAAACCTCTGTTGAAGAAAGAGGAAATTATGATAAGCTCATTCATTTTTTAACCGATACAAATTTAGTCCAAAAAGTGGTTCAGCACTGAAAATATTTTCACTTGGCTACCAGTTTTAAAACCTTTTTAATTTTATATGATGCAGAAGAAAATGTACAATGCTTATAATTCTTAAATTATAATTATAAAGGGCTTCATTCCTTGCATTAAGCAAAAAAACCTCAAAATTCCTTTTTTCCGTTCTTCTGGATTTATTTAGCTTATCTTTCAAAACACTTGTCAAATCTTTCAAGTAAAATAAGAATATAAAATAATTCCTTTGATTAGAAATTTGAGTCGACGATGCATGATTTATTTGTTTTACTAATGCTACACAGTAATAGCGGAAGAAACAAATCCAGTTTATTTAACTTGCTTTTAATTAAAACGCTAATATTTCCTATATCTATGCACGTTTAGATTTCTATTTTAGTATGAATTAACAAATTAATATGTGTTGTAATGCTTTTCTAAAGTTTTTTGCTATTTGAGTTACTGTAAAAAGTACATTTAACGCGTTCTCGTTTTGATAACAGCATAACAAAAAGTATCTGAAATTTACTCATATGATTAAACTAGCATCTAATATTTATCATCTTCCGCATTTACCACTATTTCTATTCTCTAACAGTTTCATCATCTACAATTTTTATATTATTTAAATTTTTACAGTTTAATTCAACATTTGTTTTGTCTTGTAATTATTCTTCGCTAATAATTTCTTTTTATTTGACTAATGATGGTTTTTTTTATTTATTTATCTTGGAAATTTTTGGGCTAGTTTGAGTTATTTTTCACGGAATTTTTTCGTTTGGTAATGGTTCAATATTTATTTTTCTCTGTCTCAAAGTGCTTTATTTTTCTCTTTTGGTTATCAGATATCATACTAATCATGTTCCTTTCTTTTTTTTGCTTCATTTTTCTTAATTTAAAACTTCTTAATAGTCTTAATGGTTCATTATTTTTCCTTCAAGTACATGCATTTTCCAGTTTATAATTTATAATTTAGGCTTTCTATTTTCTGCTCAATTTTGAAGATGGATTTTTTGTGAACATCACAGTGTTCAAAAAGGTTTTAGAAGTTGCCAAAAAAAAACTTTACTTGATCCAGTAACTGAAACATTATTTTTCTCGTATGAATGCCAATAAAATTAATGCACGAATACCATTAAACTGTCGAATTTATTTATTTAAAAATGTATAAGAAATATTTTGAAATGTAAGAGATTCTAGTACAAGATTCGGAATGTATGTATGCAAAATAATATGAAAAGTAGGTATCAAGTCTTTAGCATCTCAAATCGTAAAAGTTTTAAGATTCAAGCGACTAAATTAAAATAACTTTTTTCACGACCGCAATGAACTCTTTCTCACTGCTCAAAATTTAAATTCAAATATTTTATATGTTTTCCATCTGAAAGTTACCGACGGAGAATTTCCTAATTTATTAGGCTTTGCCATAACCAAACACTCCAATCCTCTCCAATAATTCATATGGGCTTAAATAAATGCACATCAAACCATTAAATATAATAATGAAAAAATTCAGTTTTTTCTTATAAAGTCTATTATTTTTATACAGATTCTCGATGAATCACATAGACACATATTTTTAATCAAAAATAAATTAAAATTCAATTAATAAATTTAATGGTTTCATGTTGAGCTTATTTTTTTCATCAGGAAGCGTTTTAATATTGCTTGGCGTATTTATTTCCTTGGTTAATTCAATAATCGAGTATTGCAGATCGCATGAGGGCTTTACAATAAATCTTAGGAATCATATCAATGATTTTATTTCAATTTTTGCTGTAGAAAGAATACTTTGACAGAGGATTCTTAAACTTGACCTTGATAAACTTTTCTTCAACTTTTTGAATGGTTTTAAGAACTTTCGTCTACTTTTATAAATATTATTAATCAGTTTTGATGATTTTAAGCTGAAACAAATATTTTGACAGTTATTTTTTCATCTAAATTTTTTGAAGAAATATTTAACAATTAAAATGTCTTTCTTCTCCCACAATTTTCAATGTTTTTGCTCAAATTTTTATTCTATTTATTAGAGAATTCTTAATAACTATAAGGCTCGATTTGACAATTAATGAATTAGTTTCGGGAAAAGATAAAAAACAGATTTTTATATAACAATTTTGAAAAAGAAATATGATCTCAATCCCATTTTCACTTCCAATAACTTTTCTTTTCACTGTTTCGAAGACCCCCATCCTTAATTCAATTTAGTATATAATTTAAATAAGAAGTAAAAATATTAAATAATTTAGTCCATATCTGTACAATAGTTAGGAAATTAAGTAAAAGGATTTATTGAAAAAATGCAAACTGAGAAAACACAGTTTTAAAGAATGTAACTGCATGAATGATCATTAAACCATTTCAAATTTCTTAAAAACTCTATTACTGAATTTCAATACTTATAAGATATAATATAAATACTTATATATATATATAATAAAAACCTGGTACTGTACAAATGGTTAAAAAAAACATAAATTACAATCTTTTGTTTAAAACCTTATCTGGCCAGAAATACTGGAAAAAATCATAAAGAGTAGAATCAAGTAGAATATTTCTTTACGTGTTTTTGTTTTTTAAAACACGTTCAAAACAATATTAATACATGAATTAATTATAATGTATTTTCTAAAACGCTTATAAGCAATAGTCATAATATTAATTTGTCGTTTTATTCATGCTTTAAAAAAAACAAAATTTGGAATTTCAGCAGACAAAACATTTTATTTAAAACCACTCAGTAACATATATGATTTCTTCTCTTCGTTTAGTCATTGTTTCTCGTATATAAATTGCATTTTAAATTAATTTACGTGTATGTTAATTAATTAAAGAGTTTAATGTTTGTTCCAGTACTATTTTAATAATGCTACAGGCAGGAACTTGATGACTTTCCTTACACCACCTCTTTCTGTTCGAGTCTTATCACAAATAATTTAAATTTTGAAGAAGCATATCAAAACTGATTGATAACACGCATATAAATATTTGATGAGCTGAATATATATATGTATACATACATAAAAACCTGCCAGTTTAAAGGTGAAAATTTTTTTTTTAAACTCACTTTGTATTCAATGAAATCAATTCATACATATAAATAGAGTTTGCTGATAGTTGTAGTCATATTTAATTACATTCCTCTTCATTTACACTGATTTTTAAAAACGTTACTGAAGCAATTAAAAAGTAAAAAAAAAGGAAATAAACACTGAGGGGATGTGGCATTTAAAGAGCTGTCAAAATTTTTAAAAGCTTTTATACCATTTATTATCGTGAAATCATTTCAAAATTTCTCTTTAGTGTATTAAGGTGTTTTTCTAACAAAAAATTAAAAAGTCGGTAATTTCATAGATTTTGGGGTACCAAGTATCCTTCTTTAAAGAAATCTAGCCAACTTTCACCTTACAGATGGTGAAAAATGAAGCAATCCGATACCAACAGTTGATTCATTGAGACCCCAGCCCAGACAATACCATTTCAAAGGATTATCTAGAAGGTAACAGTCTGACAAACTTTTTAAACTGTCCTTTCTTAATATTTTATTATTATTCCATAAATCAATCATTTCATTTAAATTTCTTCTAGTTGCCTAACGATTGACCAATTAAAGGCTTTCTTGTGAGTGCTTGAGAAAACTCATACCAGAAGCTTTTGCCATCAATCTTGCATACTAAACGCCTTTGTGATCTTAGTCATAAAACATACGGGATACTTGGTAATTTAGTTTTGGTATTACATCTTTAAATATGTGTACCATATCTGTGCTTCCATTGACGAAGTTTTTATAAATAAAGCAAAGAATTTTATGAAAACGAGTTGACTCTATTTTGAAACTATGAGTGTTAGGTTTTTGTAATTATAAAACTTATTAGGTCTCTGTAATTATAAAACTTTAACTCCTTAACTATTTCCAGTAGCTTAAATTTCTTACTCTGTAAATGGTTTGCGTTATACAAATGCGTTAAATACAAAACATTACATATATTTACATGCAAAATTTCAGAGATATTCCAGGATGATTTTACGTAGATCAATTTTCGTGGTAAAAGCAGCTGTAGAAATCTAGTAGTTTCGATGAAATTTAGGAAGTGATAAAAACCCAAATGCTCACATGGCAAGTAATGATTGTAGTTGTTCTCATAATATTATTAATTATACCTTATCTCAGATATCTTTTCACATAAACGAATGCAAAAATGTTTGCTTCACATGTGTCATATAAAAATTAAATCTTAGTTGTACAGGACCCTCTTCCACAATGCTGAAATTGCTTTCGTAAAATTCCATTAGCAGATTTTTTTGGAAATTTTGCAATTTGAATCCCATTTGTAAGATCAGGTTTTTTTTAAATAAAGCCAGTAGTTAATCTTTTTGAATAACCTTTAAAACATTAAATGAGAAGTGATTTACCAAAACACTTTTTCCTCCAAACCTCAAAAATATAAACTGCTGACATCAACCCTTTTCCTCCCTATCTTAGAAGTAACATGCTTTCCTTGTTGACTTTCGTCATAGGAAAACTACCATCTCCAGTTTTCCGTCTCGCTAATGCTTCCGAAATCATCCATCATTGCTCGAAGCTGTTGCTGACACCTTTTTGGGCTTAGCCCTTAGCAAAAGTAATCGTGCCAGCTGCCGTCGGCCACAAATCACTGCTCGCAACACATAAAACTTAAAGCGAAAGACGCCATATTTCTTCACATCGGCGACAGTAAGGAAATTGGTCGAATCTTAGGTAAATATAGTCTGAAACGTGAGCCTATTCTAAGATGATCACATCCTAATAGTTCCATCAGAATTCAAGACGTAACTACACCAGTCATATTAAAGATTTAAGGTATCTGTATTTCACAGCAACTAGTTTATCAAATTGTCAACAATGCCAATGTTCCATTAAAATGTGTGACAGCAATGGAATATGAAATCGCGATTTTTCAATTAACGAATGCATACATTTCATATTTAAACCATAGAGAGTGAGATATTTGCACTAATGTGCCTCACAGTCTAAAATCCACAAATGATTTTTGATTCCCCAAAATCTCTTATTAATGTCCTGCTGTTATCAGAAGGCCCTACTGGTAACTAGCAATTATACTTGCAACTTCCACTGCTAGAAATTTAAAAATATTTGTATTTTTTAATTTTAGAAATACTTGAAAAATTTTTAAAAATTCTTAGGCAAATTAGGATTTTCTAAATCTGAATTTTCTAGTAAAATACGTAGCTGATGATCTTCACATGAGACTAATTAGATTACATAAAATAAAATGCAGGAATAATATTAAAATATTTGTTAATAAATTATTAGATTTCAACATGTAGAGTCATTAGGTTAATTGGAAGCAGAAAAGACGAAAAATATGCAACCGCCTTCGCCTGGAATCGAACCACGGACCTCTGGAATACCGGCCCAGCGTGCTACCGTTACACCACGAAGGCACGCTAGGGAAGCGGGAGAAATACCTTATAAACATGTATGCTCATTGTTTTTTGATGAGATGATAGAGATTGATATAATATACAACCAATAATTGCTTTGAAAACGAAGACATTTTACATTAAGTTAAACAACAAGTATTTAAGGCCTATCTTGCTTCGTGGTTTATACTATTTAAAAATTGTATTCCACTATACCAAATTATATGAAAAAATTTTCATGTTTTTTTAGTTATACTGCATAATACAAAGACTAATTAAATGTGGTTCTAAACTGAAGTAAACATACGAGTATTACGAATGGGGACTTATTTTTCTATCCTTTATCTGAAACTTGTTTGCATGTTCTTTAATGGTAGTTTTTTTTTCCTCCTATTTCTTTCTATTTTCCGTGTCTTTATTTTTTCTCTCGCTTTAATACTGACCCCGTGCTTTTTTTCCCAACAGAATCTTACTATCGCATGAAATAATTCCGAAAATATAGTTTTTCTTGTAACAAACGGCTGAAGCATTGTGGAGGAAGGAGCAGGTGTCTATGAGTCTATAATCTATGATCATTTTAAGTTATCTCAGGGATTATAAAATGAATCAAATAAGAGAGATTTCTGAACTAGAACGAATTTGTTCACTTACTTTTTTAAATAATAACGTATAAAAGTTAAAATTTGAAAAAAACTGCTCGCAAAAGAAATTTCAGTCTGGCAAATGTCTTTCATGAATAAATTAACAGCAAAGTGATACGATGAAAATTACCGCGGTATAGTTAATTAAGCCATAGGCAACTATCATAAGACATTGCTAGAAGCAAATTTCTAGAAAACAACATTTAGACTTAAAAAAACATTGACACAGAGCACTAGACTATACATTTCTATTTGTAAAATATTAAATTAGAAATACTGAACCCAAGGAAATTCATTTATTATACAACACTGGGATTTGTGTTTTGCTAGCTTATTCATCGAGTGGAAACGGTTTGAATAATTTAACTTTGGCAATTATTTATCTTTTATGTTTATCCGCTTTTATATTTTTACCAGATATTTTTTAATCACCCTGCATATTTAAACTGTATCATATTTATCAGTTTTGAAGATAGAAGCATGGAATATTAAAGACAATGAATAAAAAACAAATTCTTTTTTTCTACTAATTTTAAAAAATAATGTAAACTGTATCGAGGTTTATAATTTTACGGTAATTAAAACTTCAAAACGTTATTGTTATTCTTTCAGAGGAGAACAGCTAATAATCCTAAAAGAAAAGAACTACAACGGGAAATATTTCCGTTCTTATTTTATCTTAGAGGAAATGTAGGACACTCAATTTCGCAGGCTTTAGTGAGCTCCATCAAGCTCAATGGCTTATCTGCTATGTGATTGCAATCTGCGTTATCTATCCAATTCAATCTTTGTCTGAATATTTCCCTAATTTCCGTTAACGGCATCAGGTTTCAATTTTCAGGCGGGCCTTCCCCAGTTCCTTGTTATTTTAAATAGCCGTTTCTAATGTAATGAAAACAGCAGTGACTAGCTTTTCAACAAAAACCTAAAATGCAATATTTTTTCATAAGGCGAGTAACATTTACTTTTATCCCTCTTTACCCTCGTCATTGTACAAAAGCAATTTGCACGAGAAAATCTTCTACCGTTGTAAACATCCTTATCGTAATTTCGCTCTGAGTACGTTTTCGAAGCTTTAAAATCTACTTTCCTTCAGTAATTGAAAATTCATTCCAAAAATATTTCGCCTTTCCGCAATTCTATCTGTGTGCTCCGTCTGTCAGCAACTTACGATTACCAAGTTTGCATTCCTGTATAATTGAGACGACTTTCATGCCTCTACTGTCAAAGTTTGAAGCACAATCTTTGTATTCTTCTTTTCATCATTTCTAACATTTTATCGCATTGCTGCCATTTTCTCAAAATATGGAGATATACCAATAATTTCCTTTTTGTTAGCAGAAAAAAGAATAAAACGGGAGGTATTTAGAAACTCTGACAAAACGACTGTTTCCCTCAAACATACCCTTCCTGCCTCTATTTTTAGCGGATTAACAGGAAACCTTATAAGGTTTCCTTTGTCAGATATTCGGAAAGATTTCTTCACCTCGCCTGCGATGTCTATCTTCTGAGACCATCTTCAGTCTGCCCTCCAGTAGACGATTTCTTTGTTGATAACACTTTTAGTTGTTTCATTGATCACATTTAGTTGTTTTATAGAAGCCAAAGAAATAATCGTATAATCGTGAGTTCATTTCAGCAAATAACCTTTTCAATATTTCGCTTTCATTTTTTGCCATTTAAGCTTTGGCTGTAAAAGAATATGCTTTAGATTATTAAGAAAAAATGTGTTGGGCCTAACATGTAGATATAACAAATATTAGCTTGCAAGGAAATTTTCCTCACCATGTGCCTTCGTGCTGTAACTGAAAGACCGACTACCATCAGAACTTCCGGAGCTCGGAACTTAGCGAGGCAGTAGTTTATATTTCATGCATTCTGTTGACATTTCTGTTTTCATGCTGCAGTGACGCCCGATTAAAATGTGGCGATTGATAACTCGTCACCACTTGGATTTGAAGACTTTATCTCTCTTTCCCCCAGTTGGTTTTTAAGTAGGGAAGAATATAAGGAGTTCTCTTATTTTTATAGCATACTTTTGTGGTGTGATTGGGTGTTACGTCCGGCTAGCATCGAAAAATCTGGAGTTTGAATCCCGAAAACAGCATCACTAATTTTTTGTATCTCCTGTTCCGTTAATTAATTAATCGCTCTATAATCTGACAGAAAATTTATTATTTCGCATATAAATGCCTTATTCAGTACAAATTAAACTTTACCACTTGGACAAGATTCGTTGTAAACTACACTGCTCATCAAAATTAAAGGATAATGACAGAAATATAATGTAAACGATACATAATTGAAAAATTATTAATAGAAATTTGTACAAAAGCATTAGTTAACATAAATTGCAATGTTCGGCAGTTAATTATTCGCAAAATATTGAAATTTAAACAAAATTTATGGAAATTTGAAACTGATGGAAAAATTAAATCACTTCCTATGGAAAACATTTTTTTTTTAGTATGGTCTGTGGTCGCCTCGGACAGATTTGCATACCTGACATCTTGATTTCATAGATTTTACCAAAATGTTGATCATGTGTTGTAGAATTACACGCCAATCTTCTAAAAGAGCTCTTTACAGCTCCTGGAGCGTCCGGGGAAGAGACTGAGGTG